CCAGCAGAAAATAGTAACTATAACTCATAACCTGGGCCTAGACCAGGAACTTGATGGGGGTTGGCAGGTATTTGATTAGAGAGAGGGATGCTGAGCAGCTAGTGAGTGTGGTAGAAATCTCAGTACAGGAATTTGAGTCAGAAGAGAAAAACCACAGAGGAAGTTTTTGCCATTGCTTATATTGAAATCTATTAGGGTTTAGTTTGAGAAAGAGGTTTGTGGAATTATATCCATAAGCAAGTGATAAACAGAAAAAAGGAGAATATCAAAATAGTTTATTTTAATTTTCTCCACAAATATTTGTTTATGCTTATATTTTAAAATCAAACCAGCCTGGCTTTTGTATTTTTATGCATTTGCCTTCCATTGTCCCTGAAATAATCATTTTATAATATAGGTAGATAACTGGTACTCACAACTAATAGAGGCAATATGAAACCTAGCTTTTATGATTACCTGATAAATGTAAGTATGTTCTTTGTTTTCTTTTTAAGAAAACTTATTTATTGATTTGAGAGAGAGAGAGAGAGAGAGAGACATCAATTTGTTGTTGCACTTATGTATGCATTCATTGGTTGTTTCTTGTATGTGCCCTGACCTGAGATAGAACCCGCATCTTTGGCATATGGGAATGATGCTCTAATCAACTGAGCTACCCAGATAGGGCCAGTTCTTGGTTTTCTTACAAAATTATATAACCTGTCTTTATTAGTGGGTATTTTAAAAATATCAATTATCTTAGTCCTTTACATCACCAATAAGCTAAAGGTCTTCAGAGTAGTGTGACGTGGTTACAATCACTGAAATGGGGAAATCAATAGAAATAAAATTAGCTTCTGGAATATGTACCCTTTTTGTATAAAATTTAAAATGCAGATGTTATGTCCTCTATTAATATTAAAGTTATTCATTCATTAGTAAATTTCCACTGCGTTAGACTAAAAATAGAGTCTAAATTAATAAGTCCTAGTAATATATGCAGCCTTTAAGAGAATTTTTTGAAAGTACTTAAACTTTTGCCAAATTTTCTTGGTTTATTTTTAGCCTCTACTGGTTTTTTTTCTTTTGGCAAGACTACTCATTTCTAATCAAGCTAAAAACAACTTAAACTTGAGTCACTTTAGAACTTAGTACAACTGATGATTGTGGGAGTGTTTATTTCACTGCCAGCTTCAGAAACTTCTGAATACAGTGTACAGGAAGGCACAGTTGCTATTTCCTAAAATCTGGAAGAAGGCTTAACAAGAAATACAGAATCACAATTAGACTGCCAATTTTTCGACGACTTGCTAGTGCCTTTGCCCAAGATTCTGAATTAATATTTTATGTAAATTTCTATAGTGGTTATATAATTTATGGATTCTTTCTTTCCAGTTAGATCTCACAGCAGCATAAACCTTAAGGGATCCTTTAACTCAGGGAGATTATGTGATGCAGTAGGAAAAAAAAATCAGGAATTACACAATCTAGGTCATGGTACCATCTCTGTCACTCTATTATGTGACCCTTGATAAGTCTTAGTTACTTCTCTCATATGTAGAAAAGAAAAAATATCCCAGGCCCTATCAGTTCAGGGAAATCGTATAAATTTTGAGAATGCTGCTTGAGAACTTTGCAGAACAGACATCAGGAATTGATGGGATCCCCTGGACCGGTGTGGCACTGATGCACAAACATGACTTCTCAGCATTGTCATCAGCTACTAACGGACTGAGTTGGCCAGAGGTTTTGGTTTAAGATGAAAAGACCACTTTATTTTATTTTTTCTTATTTCTCAATTTATTAGACATTATTTATAGTTTACAAAAGGGTGAGCTTTCACTAGGTTGTAATTTTTACATCCAATATTAATATCATTATAGATTTAAAACTGCATTTTTATTATTTACTATAATAAATATTTTTTATTTTTTAAATTTATCTTTATTGTTGAAAGTATTACAGACGTTCCCTTTTTTCCCCCAGTGACCCCCCTCCAGCTCTCACCTGCCCCCCAAGGCCTTCACCACACTATTACCATTTTAAAAATCGGATGCCTTTAAAATAGCCAATTTTTTTAAATAATTTTTTTAATTCACTAAGAACTTTTATTCTCTTTTTCAACTTAAAAGTACCTTGAATACCCCACAATTTATCAGCCTGACAGGTGTCATTTGAGAAGAAATGGATCTGGATATCGATTTTAGACTTTTAGACTGAAACAAACTTTTCTTTTAAAAAAAGGATGGGTCACCCTAAATTTGAAACAGAAATCAGGGATTCTTGAAGTACTTTGTACTAAAGATCTGGGCTCTCTCTCCAACAGTGACACCTCAGCATCTCTATGTAGCCACTGCTTTTGTTTCCTAAACACGTGATGTTTTGAGTAGCCTCACCTTACAAATAGATTTGCAGAACAGGAAGAAGATTCTTGAAAGGGAGGACTGTGATGAAACCGATATAAATCTCTGTTTTAAAATCTTGTACAGCCTTCTGTTTTAAAATCTTTTCTTCTGGATGAGACATTAGTCTTTAACGTTTGAGGAGCTCTGTAACTGAAGACAAACAATAAAATACCAACAAAGGAAATTACTAAAGGGTTGTATGTGTTTAAATTACTTTTATCAGTAACCCACTCTAGCCTCAGAAGGTATAAAGCAAAAGGAGAAGAGGGACATTTAAAACCAGTGTATTTTTTTTTAAATATATTTTTATTGATTTCAGAGAGGAAGGGAGAGGGAAAGATAGAAACATTAATGATGAAAATCATTGATTGTCTGCCTCCTGCACGACCCCTACTAGGGATTGAGCCTGCAACCCAGGCATGTGCCCTTGACCAGAATCGAACCTGGGACCCTTCAGTCCGCAGGCCGACACTCTGTCCACTGAGCAAAACCAGCTAGGGCAAAACCAATGTATTTTTGTCATTAAATTTTTCTTTAACTTAAAAAGGCATTATAATCTTAAATTCAAGATCGTCTGATATTTAAATCAATTTATTATCTTGATGACCACATATACTAATCAGTTGGGAAATAGATTTCAGTTTTGTGGTAAGTCCATGAATTAGCTTATTGGGGGGGGGGGGAGTTAATGTATTATTTTATTGTAAGGTTAAATTTAGGGTGGTTCTTAATCAGACAGAATCAGCCTAAATAGAAATTTTCCCAAAAAATTCTGATTCTTGCTAAATCCTATGCTAATAAAAGGCACTGTACTTCTTGTAAACGGTCCACAGTGTCTATACTAGTATAGCCTAACAAAAATAAAGGTATGTACTTTCTACTATCAATGAGTTTATCATTAAACTAGAGGCCTGATGCATGAAATTCATGCATGGATAGGGTCCGTAGGCCTGGCAGGGCTGATCTGTGGGGCGGTTGGGGGGCCCACGTTGGCACCTGCCTTGGCTGGCCTGGCACCTCCCACTCGCTGGCTGGCCCCGCCGCCCCCCACTGCTGCCACCGGTCACCTCCCTCTGTGGGGCGACCAGTGGTGTGATTGGGGGGCTCCCGCTGGTGCCTGCGGGTTGGATATAGCTCCTGCATTGAGCGTCTGCCTCCTGGTGGTCAGTGAGCATCATAGCGACTGGTCATTCCACCATTCGGTCGATTTGCATATTAGGCTCTTATTATATAGGACTAGAGGCCTAGTGCACGAAATCAGTGCACTTGGTGGGGGGGTCCCTCAGCCCAGTCTGCGCCCTCTCACAGTCCAGGAGCCCTCAGGGGATGTCCAACTGCTGCGGAGGCACGAGAGGCTGCTGCAGAGGGGGGAGAGGCTCCTGCCACCACTGCTGCACTCGCCAGCCGTGAGCCCGGCTTCTGGCTGAGCAGCGCTCCCCCTGTGGGAGCGTACTGACCACCAGGGGGCAGCTCCTGCGTTGAGCATTTGCCCCCTGGTAGTCAGTGTGCATCATTGCGACTGGTTGTTCCTCTGTTCGGTCGATTTGCATATTAGCCTTTTATTAGGATAGGATTAGAGCTTACCAGGCCATAATGTAAAATAGGGAAAGGATTCTCCCAGTAAAAATTCAAGTTAATGAACTCTTTCCTCTTCCTTTTAAACGACTCTTGCAACTAAATGTGGACCTTGATAAAATTTGAGTTATAGAAGTGATTTTTTTCCCCCACTGTGGAAAAATGTTTCTCCCCCTCTTTATATAGAAGATGACAGCCCAGGTCTCTTGTGCTGATGACACAACTTGAGAAAATACTATCAGGCAAAGACTGCAATAGGCCAGGCCTGGGGAAGTGGTCATACTCAGCCAACGACCTGTCTTACTTCATGGAGATGTGAATGAAAAGTAGGTCCTCTGCTGGCAGGGGTCAGAGACTCCTGCTTTTATGACTGAACCCTCATTGTGATTATTTGAAATAAAAGGAATTAAAAATTGTGAATATAACTAAATCAGCATACTCTGCACATTTAATAGTTTTAATAACTTATAGGTGTTTGTAGCATCTTTTAGCAGTTTTAATTAAGGAAAACCTTTAGCAAATAAAATAATTTAGAAACTGTATTTAACGTTATAAGATACACTTTCTAGCTGTGTGCTCTATTAACATGATTGAAAGACACCTAGATAACTGATCTTAGATAAGTCAGTCTGGATGTCAGGAAAAGTAATAGATAACTGCTGTGGCCTTTCTCTTTATGAGGGAGATAAACCAACTGGTGATGTTCTGAGATCCAGGCAGCAGGTAGGAGCTTCTTTCCATGCGTGGCCTTTGCCTTTCCCTGCTTCCCTTCACATTCTTGTGGCCAATAATGAGTTTAACATCAGCTAGTCAGAGTTGTGCAGAGGTCAAGGAAATAGGCTGATGTAAAATTTTAGTATCCATAGTTTTGCCACTAATTTAAGAAGCACTAAGTCTAGCAGTTCATTATAAAGTCCAAAGCATTCTATGTGGTCAAAACATTTTAAAATTGACTATTTGATCTCTTTTGAAAATGTAAACAATAGTTTTAATCATTCTGAATCAAAGATTTTAATAAGATTTTTTTCTTTTTCTTCTTAGATCCCAATTTTGTTCGGACATTTCTTACAACATACAGATCCTTTTGTAAACCTCAAGAACTACTGAGTCTTATAATAGAAAGGTCTGTCAATTTTAAATGTTTAAATTATTTTTTTTTAAGATTGAACTAAGATCTTATATGTTCTTTGGAAATATATTGGATGAGTTTAAATTGTAGTTCATGAGCACTTTTTAAAGAAACAAAATCTCTTAGAAGACCATTATTTTATAATAATATGTTAACTTTGATTATTTAAATATATGTAAAATACATAATTTAGACTCAGGAAATTCAAATTTTGATGATTTAGATGTTCTAAACAGAATGTTTCAGAAGTTAAAGAAAATGGAGGTTGTCAGTGAACAAATACTATAATCAAGAAAAGTGTTTCATACAGCCAAAGATCAGTCAACTTTTCAAGCATTACCCTTAAAAAGTATTATGTTAATTGACTTAGCATAATTACACGAGCCAGAAATGAACATCCGTCCCATAACTTTGTAATCATATTTATTTTTAGATTTGAATGTATCCTTTATTGTGTTTCTAGTTAGTTTTATCTATAAGATCATTAACCGTTACATTATAGAAACCTTGTTTTCACATTATTCTTAGTAATTTTTAACAGTGCTCTCTTGATTGTGGGGACTAGTAAAAAGATTTGTAGTTTTCTATTTGTATAATTTGATTATAGTTAATATTTTCATTAGTTTATTCTGCTTTATGTTAGGTTTGAAATTCCAGAGCCTGAGCCAACAGAAGCTGATCGCATAGCTATAGAGAATGGAGATCAACCCCTGAGTGCAGAACTAAAAAGGTTTAGAAAAGAATATATACAGCCTGTACAACTGCGGTAAGATTAGATAAGTAACTGAAGTAAATAAGTCTTTATTGAACTTTTGTTTCAGAGTTTAAGGATCTTTTCCAAGTAAGGAGGAGGTAAGAAGTAAAATGAGTGAAAAGCAATTTCAGAAATTATGGTGTAAGTCTTAATTAACAGGATTTTAAAAGTGGTAGGCCACTTATAAGATTATTTAATTTGCCCAGCCAGTATGGCTCAATGGTTGAGCATCGACCCATGAACCAGGAGGTCAGGGTTTGATTCCCAGTCAGGGCACATGCCTGGGTTGCAGGCTCCATCCCAGTAGGGGGCGTGCAGGAGGCAGCCGATCAGTGATTCTCATCATTGATGTTTCTATCTCTCTCCCTCTCCCTCTCTCTGAAATCAATAAAAAAATACTTTTTAAAAAAAGTATTATTTAATTTGGTGAAAGTTACTTTGTTTTCATTTATACCATTCATTGTAATAAACATTTATATTGGAGTTCCCATGTAATTTAGTTATTCTTCTGTGTTAATGCCATAGAGTATTAAATGTATGTCGGCACTGGGTAGAGCACCACTTCTATGACTTTGAAAGAGATGCACATCTTTTGCAGCGAATGGAGGAATTTATTGGAACAGTAAGAGGTATGGTATTTTTTTAAATTGAATTTATTGGGTTGATATTGGTTAATAAGATTATATAGGTTTCAGGTGTACAATTCTGTAATATATCATCTGTACATTGTATTGTTTACTACCCTGAAGTATGATTTTTTGTGTGCCTAGTTTTATGTGAATAAAAGTACCTATATAGTGACTATCAATTGATATCATTACTGGTTATTGTTGTTAAGAGGTGTTTGTAGTAGTTCCAGCATAATAGGAAAATTTCAAAATTTTCATCAAACCATATTTTTGGCCTACAAATTGCTCAATAATCACCCTGTTAACCAATGTATTTTCATTTAGTAAATCAACTTATTGGTTATTTTGGAATTGGAATAAAAAAAGTCTCAATTTATGCTGTCTTTACACTTATCTGAAAGTACGTGTACCAAAGGACAATTAGGAACTATTATGCCATTATGACCCCACCCATGGAGGTTACTGAGCCACCATTAGGTGAAGAGTGCATACATCAGCGAGGCAGCAGAGCATAGTGAACTGAGAGCCGAGAAGCAAGAGTTCTGTTCCTAACACTGCCGATCATCAGATACATGACTGGAAAAAAATTACTTTGATTCTTTTCAGACAGCTGAGAAAAGCACACATTTAGAAAGGGAGACAAGAAACAGAGGCCACCAAAGAATCTTTTGAATATCTGCTTGCCACATTTCAGAAAATGTAACAATGGTATTACATAATAGTCATTATCATATAAAAGATGGTTCTTGCAACATCATCCACGCCTCCAGGAATCATTTTCAGGGGCCACTTTGATTCTTTGTACTTAAGTTTCCTCATCAGTAACATGAGGAGCTAGGCTTTATGATCTCCAGAGCTTCTCTTCTAGTTTTAAAGATTATATGAGTGTATAAGTATGTCCTGGATAATTTAATTTCCATTTCCATTGTACATGCTAAATGAGAATCAGAAAATAAAGGGTTCAATAGTAGTACTTTCATGCATAATACAAAACAAAGCCACATTTTTAAAAAAAACTCATGCAAAAATGAAGGACTTAGTCCTCTGGCCCTGTTTGGTTTATGAAATGCAATATTGATTAGATTAATGGTGACTGTATAATCTATCCTTATAAGTCTCTTTTGTGTAAAAAAATCTTTGTTTGGAGGATTATAAAATATTTAGAACTGAAGCTCAGAACAACAAAGGTGAAAAATCTCTACAAATAAATTACTTTCTAATATTTAAGGAGGATATGGAAGAATATAAGCCATGTGAAGAAAAATGAGATTAGGATAGGGAACAGGGAAATGATAAAGGGGAACTTCCATTTTTAAAATTTTGATCATTTAAACTTTTTTATAGCAAAGACATATTCAGGTATCACTTATATGATTTTAAACTTTTTAAAAATATTAAGTAAAAAATATTTAAATATTATTTTAAATGTATTTCAGGTAAAGCAATGAAAAAATGGGTTGAATCCATCACTAAAATAATCCAAAGGAAAAAAATTGCAAGAGACAATGGACCAGGTCATAATATTACATTTCAGAGTTCACCTCCCACAGTCGAGTGGCATATAAGCCGACCTGGGCACATAGAGACTTTTGACCTGCTCACCTTACACCCAATAGAAATTGCTCGGCAACTCACTTTACTTGAATCAGATCTCTATCGGTATGTAATTTGACACTTAAGCTGAAAAGTCACTTTAAAGAAGTTAATTTTTTAAATGAAATACTGGTTTCTGCTTTATAGGATTGGAATAAGACATAAATGAGATAGTATATGAAGTGTCTGGTAATAAGGCTCCTCTCTTTCACTGCCCGATCCCCCTTGCTTTGTCTGGATTTACAGCTTCTTTCTGTTTGTAGTCACCCCTCGTTGGTAAAGCAAAGTTCAAATCCTAGCTTTACTATTTGCTGGCTTGGTATTCTTGGGCAACTTTAACTTTCTTTTGTAACTTTCATCCCTCTGCCTATTAGTTCCTTCGAGTAAAATGGAGCTAATAATATTACTCCTGGGGCTGTTGTGAGGTTTAAAATACTCATTATATGTACAGTGCTTAGTACAAAGTAAGGGCTCAATAGGTTAGCTACTGCCGTTATAATTATGAATTTAAATCATGGCCAGTTATAGCCTTTTCAGTTTTTCTACATGTTCATAACTACTATCTAAAAAATGTCTGTTTACAGTTTTAAATGAGGACTATTTAGAATTTCGAGCTATTTTTAATTACTAAATGAAGAAAGGGACTAAATTTACATATCTCCTTCCACCAAAGATCATTACTAAGTCTCAAAAAATCAGTGTTACAATCTATTTTATTTATTTCCCAGGACTGTTTTGTGGTTGAGTTTCCCTCTTCCTTTAGAGGGGAGAAAAAAAATTTTTTGAATTGTAGTGATCACTATGCCTTCAGTGAGCTGATTATTTTAACAGATATATCATTATTTAAAAGAACTACCCCAAACTTGTTAGATAATATTTGTAAGTGCTGGGAAAGATATTATGAAGAAATCCCAACCTTGCCCAAAGCAAAAAGCTACTATAAAGCAATAATAAAAGTACATTGGTACGTGCATAAAAATATGTTTAATATATATAAAAAGATGCATAATTAAAATTTTTGTTATATCCTGTCATAAACATTTCTGTTGATGTAAGTGGAAAGTTTATATGGGAATTTAGTTTTGTTTAGCTCATTTACTTAATAAAACAATATACTGAGGGAAAAGTATCATATAGAATTATGTATTGATGATTTTAGAGCTGTACAGCCATCAGAATTAGTTGGAAGTGTGTGGACAAAAGAAGACAAAGAAATTAATTCTCCTAATCTTCTGAAAATGATCCGGCACACCACTAATCTCACTCTGTGGTTTGAGAAGTAAGTATTACTGACATTCTTAACATTTCATTGCAATCAGATATGTTATAAATTTCATTGCAATTCTATTTCTATATGTCTCACTTCTTGTTTTGTTCCTCTTCTTTATTTTTGCACTGAGTGAAGTTTTCTAATGTAGCATTTTAATTTCATTAAAATTTTTTCATTAAAAAATTTTGATGGGTTTTTTTAGTGGTTGCTTTATAGTTTACCATATACATCTTATCAGGATCAGCTTCAGATTTATATTAGCTTAATTTCAGTGATGTATAGAAATGTTACTCCTATATAGCTCTATTTCCTTTATCCCCCTTTTTTGTGGTATTATTGTAATACACATTACATATAATTAATGATGTAAATCTAACAATACATTGTTTTAATTATTGCTTTAAACCATTTGCTGTCATTTTCTTAGCCCATTACAGCTTTATTCTTACCCATCTCCTTTGTGCAGTTATGGCAATACTAGGGACCCAGTGCACGAATTCATGCACCTTGAAAGGAACTGTGGGCTGTGAGGCTACGGTGGGCCCAGGGGCAGGTCTCGGCCCATCCTCCACACCCCTGCCCATCCACTCCTGCTGTGGCCCCCAGCCCCCTGTCTGCCAGCAGCCCCCCTCCCGCTGCTGCCATTCCCATGCTCTGACAGCGCTGGCCTCACTCACACCCGCTGACAGCATGGAGCAATTGGGGCCGTTGCCAGCAGCAGGTGCGAGCAGGGCCAGTGCCGTCAGCGGGTGCGAGTGGTGGCTGCTGCCCCGATCGCCCCTCAGGAGCAGGGGGAGGTGGAAAAGCCCTGAGGGGTGATCAGGGCCGGCAGCCGCCGCTTGCACCCGCTGACTGTGCCGATTGATCAGGGCTGGCACCAGGCGCCGGCAGCAGGTGTGAGCACCGGGTGGGACCGCAAAGAATTTTCAGTAACCACCAGAGGTTCAGCGACCGGTGCCTGTCTTGGTCTGGCGCCCCCGCTCACCTGCTCCATCATCCCACCACGGCCGATGCCCGCCACGTTCCACGCGCGCCCCTTGTGATCAGCGCACATCATAGCAACCCATTGTTCGGCTGTTTGGTCTGTCTGCATATTAGCCTTTTATTATATAGGATATTACACTTCCCTTTGTTATAGGCCCAACAATTGCTTTTTAAATCACGTAAGAGAAACAGTAAGAAAAAATAGCATTTATAGTGTCTTATATAATCACATGATTACCTTTACTGGTGCTCTTTCTTGGTGTGGATTCATATTACCATCTGGGGTCACTTGTTTTCAGCCTGAAGAACTTCCTTTAGTATTTCTTGTACTGGTTCAGTGGGTCTGTTAGCAACAAATTCTCTCCCTTTTTTTAAATCTGGGAAATATTTTGCCTTCACTTTTGAACAATAGCTCTATCTTCAAGTTAACTAATTATTTCTCTGCCAGTTCAAATCTACTATTGAGCCCCTGTAGTAAATTTTTTATTTTAATTATTGTACTTTTCAGTTCCAGGGTTTCCATTTGGTTCCTTTTATAATTCTGTGTCTTCAGTGATATTCTCTATTTCATGCATGTTGTCATCATGTCTTCTTTTTTAAATCATGCTTTCCTTTAGTTCTGTAGACATAGTCATAATGCCTACTTTGAAATATTTTTCTGTTAAACCTGACATCTGGTCTCCCTCCAGACAGTTTCTGTTCCCTGCTTTTTTTCCCCCCAGTGAAAAGGTAGTACTTTCCTGTTACCTTGCATGTCTCTTAATTTTTGTTGGAACTTGATATTTTAGCTATTCCTATCCCTCAGGGCTTATTATTATTACTGTTTGTTTGTTTAGTGACTAGCTGGGTTATTTTAGTGAAGTCTATTCTCCTCAGACCTTCCCCCATGCTGAGATATTAAACAGATGTTCCTCTTCTGGGCGGTACAGATTAGGGTATGCCCACAGTCACCCTAAGAAGGCAGTGGCAAAGGTAGGGCTTTCTTTCACTCCTTCTTTGACCACACCCAGCTGTTAAACTCCAAAAATTCCCTGATGGCATAAATTTTCTACAAACTAATCCAATCATATTGTAACTCCCTTGAAAGAATGGTTTCTGAAGTCTCTGTTTTGATATTTGTTCTGACCCCAGGGGGGCTCCTCCCAGCTGCCTTATTCTCTAGTTTTCTCCTGCAAACCAGTTTGGCCAAAAGTCAAGGCTGTATCTTCATTAGATCTACAAATCTCCCAATTGCTCTTCATCACAATATTCACTGTTCTTGAGAGCACTAGGTTTAAACTTCTCCACACTATTTTAAATGATAAGCGATTAGAGCTATCTATTTGAGCCTAGACTCGAACTGGGGACAATGGCAAATTTTTTTGACATTCTTGCTCTAGGAGCTGAGTGCTTAGTGGTGGTGGTGGTGGGGTGTGTGCGCCCTCTCATGCATGCACACGAACAGTAGCCTGAGGTCCTCTTGGCTTGCTTCTCTTGGCATGGAACCACTGCCTCAGGAAACGGAATGGCTATCTTCCCAGTATTTTCAGTACGCCACATTCAAGGTAGAGCCTCTCCACAGAAGTTATGCAGGAGAAAGGAGTCCCACTTCTCAGCTGCACTCACCTGGGACTTAGCCTCAGCAGCCAGCAGCTCAGAGCAGGATGAGTGAAATGCTGAAGTCCTGCTACTCCAGGGAAGAAAGCCCTCTAGCTGGGAGCTGGGTGGACAGGCAGCTGTGTTCTTGGTTGCAGCAGTCTGCAGTAGACCACTACGCCCCACAACCCCCAGAGGTTCTCTGGCAGGAAGAGGGGAGGGAGCAGTCTTTGTTCAAATACCACAAACTCTTGCCTCTCTCTTTCTGAATTTTTGTAGATTTTCCTGAATAGATATTTCTTCATTTACTATTTGCTCAAAGGGCCATTTCCAGAGACTTTGAATATTTATGGATATGTATGTTTATGTACATAAGTGTGTATGTGTATATTTATATATCTACAAATATATATATGCACACATAATTTTTCACCAGTTTCACTGAGAAGTGAATAAGCAGAGCTCCTTACACTGTTATGTCAGAAGTCCAGAATCTCAGTGCAATTTTTGTTGTTGTTAATCTTCATCTGAGGATATTTTCTTCATTGATATTTAGAGAGAGTAGAAGGGAGGGAGGCAAGAGGAGAGACACATCAATTGGTTGCCTCCCGCATGCACCCCGACCAGGGCCAGGGATTGAAGCTGGGGTTGACACACTTGCCCTTGACTGAGAATCAAACCCGAGACCCTTTGGTGCATGGGCCAATGCTGTAACCAATGAGCAACACTGGCCAAGGCACCTCAGAGCAATTTTATAGTTGGGGTCAGAGATTGGAGTTTTATGTATTGGCCATATTTTTTTCTAAATAAAAATAATATGACTATTTGACTAATATTTTATAAGGATTATATGAGGTTTCCATAGATCATATTGGAATTACAAGAACAAGAGACCAATGACATAAGGGAATGACTGGAACATGAGGGAGAATGTGGTTAAAGATCTGAAAGAGATTCCTAAATATAAAAAAGCATCCCAAGTAATCTGAAAGTTAGGACTTCCTTATATTTATGTTATTTCTTCTCAGTCTCTAAAATGTAAGACGTTAGAATTTGCTCTCTATGTGTAGTTTCCTTATTTCTTCATTATTAAGTTAAATAACTACATTTCAGTATGCAGAAGACTTTTTCCATCATAAGTAAAACTTATGTCTGTAAAGAGGAAACATAACTGATCAAACATAGGGACAATTTCATTTCTGTTTTATTGTTTTTAAAGATTCCTGAGAATGCATTTCCTGCTCTTTTTCCTTTTTCTTTTTTTTTAAATTGTGTTAAGAATACTTAGCATGAGATTTACCCTATTAACAGATTTTGTTCATGTACAACACAGCATTGTTATCTATAGGCATAATGTTGTACAGCAGATCTCTAGAATTTATTCATCTTGTATAACTGAAATTTTATACATATTGGTTAGCCACACCCTGTATTTCACTCCCCATGACCCTGGGCAACCACAGAAGCCATTCTGTTCTTGGCTTCTATGAATTTGATTATTTTAGATAAAACATGCAGTATTTGTCCTTCTGTGATTGGTTTATTTCACTTAGCATAATGTTCTCAGTGTTTATCCATTTTGTTGCATACTGCAGGATTCCCTTCTGACTCATATTCTGTTGTATGTATATACCACATTTTCTTTATCCATTCATCCATAGATGGACATTTAGGTTGTTTCCATATCTTAGCTATTCTGAATAGCATTGCAATGAACATAAGAGTGTTAATATAGCTTCAAGATCCTGATTTCAATACTTTTGGATAAACTCCCAGAAGTAGGATTGCTGAATCATATGGTAGTTCTATTTTTAATGTTTTGAGGAACCTCCATACTGTTTTTCCTGCCTACACCATTTGCATTCCCACCATTAACAGTGTACAAGCGTTCCAATATCTACCTTTTCAGTGTGAAAGATTCTTGTTCATTTGCCACAGTGGTTCTTAGCCATGGATGTGCATTAGAATTGGGGTCACCTATGAATAAATCACTCCAGACTTACCTGGTTTTTACAAAAGCTGCACAGATGATCTGTTTGTATGCCTAGTTAATATCAACTGAAATAGTTAAATGAAAGATGTAAATACATTATACTCATAACATTTTTAAATGTCTAACTAGCTACCCAAAATCTATAATAATAAAAGCGTAATATGCTAATTAGACCAGACAGCCGAACGACCTTCCGGATGTCCTTCCGGACGACCTTCCTGATGAAGCTGGGGCTGTGAGGGCCGAGCCACTTGCACAAATTGTATGCATCGGGCCTCTAGTATGATATGTTTGTAGAGATCTAACTAATGTTTTTAAAAAATATATATTTTCTTATTGATTTCAGAGAGGAAAAGAGAGGGAGAGATAGAAACATCAGTGGTGAGAGAGAAATACTGATCAGCTGCCTCCTGCACACCCCCTACTGGGGATTGAGCCCACAACCTGGGCATGTACTCACCCAGAAATTGAACCATGACCTCCTGGTTCATAGGTCAATGCTCAACCACTGAGCAACACTGGCTGGGCTAGCTAATGCTTTAAACACATACATGTGTTGTGTTTAATTTGATAATAAGGCAAATTGTGATAGTTTTGCAATGGTTTTTTTTTTTCTTAGTGTCAGACCAGCCTCATCAGAGTATAATGTAATCTGAAATTTTACATTTTAAAAAATGTTTAACTTTGATTTATATTTATTTTTCTCATTTATGTGTTCTATTTTTTCTTGGATTATAAGGTGTTTAATATTACATTATTGAAAACCAAGTTTAAAATGTCTTTTTCTTTACTGATAAATAATTAGTAAATCTCTCAAATATTAGAAATGGAGAGTAAATGTTCACTGAGGAATTTATGTTCACTTCCTTTTAGATATTTACCAGAATATATATATATATATACACACACACTTTCCAATGATTTTTGATATTTAAGTGCTTTTATTTTCATTGACTTTTTCCCCATGTAATTTTTAAAATTTTACTTTTTTGTTGTTGTTAATCTTCATCTGAATATATTTTTCCATTGATTTTTTTTTTTTTTTTTTTAGAGAGAGAGAGAGAATGGAAGGGAAGGGGAGTGATGGAGAGAGAGAAACATTGATGTGAAAGAGACACATCTATTGGTTGCCTCCCACGAGTGCTTTGACTGGGGTGGGGAGCACACCTGCAACTGAAGTACATGCCTTTGATAGGAATTGAACCTACAACCCTGGGCCGACTCTCTAACTACTGAGCCAAACAAGCGAGGGCAAACATTTTTATTCTTGATTGTGGTAAAATACTTCCACTGACTTTTTATAATGCTTATGTAAAGAGCTGTTCCTAGAAATGTAGCTAATTACTTCTGATATCAAAGGAAGAAATTAATCACTAAAATCTTGCAATTAGATGAAGAATAGGAAGCACAGAATTCTTGCACTCTAGAATAAATTCCCCTGGCACACACCCACATCCTTTAAACCAGCATGTTAGACTCATCAGTTAATTCTAATGCTGAGAGAGGATGCACCAAAGATGTAGGAAAATGATTGACTGGTTGATGGCATCAGTCTGGAAGAGAGTAAAGAGCAGCATGCCTGCCTATCAAGTCACTGCTTTATCTGCCAGTCTCCTACTATTCAACTATCATTCTGAATATATAATCTCTACAGTTACACTGATAGCCTCTCCATACTCCACATTATATTATTTACTAAATTCTTTAACCCATATCTTTGTTGGGAAAATTCCACATTTTTAAATTAATTTCTGTCTTTGATTCCCAGATGTATTGTAGAAACTGAAAACTTAGAAGAAAGAGTAGCTGTGGTGAGTCGAATAATTGAGATTCTGCAAGTCTTTCAAGAGCTGAACAACTTCAATGGTGTCCTTGAGGTTGTCAGTGCTATGAACTCATCACCTGTTTACAGGCTAGACCACACATTTGAGGTAGGTTTGCATAGGTGTTTTATTTTAATGAACTTACTGCATTTCCTGTTCTACGAATCAGGATTTTAACAATTACGATCTTTAATTTTTAAGTGCCTCACCTGTCTTTCAGTAACAGTTTAAAAGATGGAATTATCTAAACTTTGAATTGACTTGCTTGTTCTTTTTAAATTAGGCGTTCTCATTAAAATGCATTCACAGTTAGAAGAAAATGCTTTCAGCACTTAATTTGTAATGTAATGTACAATTATGCTCACATAATTGTGTGAGGATGGTGAGAGAAATCAGATTTCACACACATACACACACACACACACACACACACACACACACCTTTAAGTTTGCACAAGGGCCAATGAAGATAGTCTCTTTGAGCCAGTATTAATACTCTTGAAATCAAGCTGATACAGTTGTGTTTGGGCTTTACTCTTAGCCTGGAATTTTTTGGAAAAACCTTTGATTCCTTTTGTAAACTTATGCTCCCTAAATATTTTTTTTTCATTGTAGCAAATACCAAGTCGCCAAAAGAAAATTTTAGAAGAAGCTCATGAATTAAGTGAAGATCATTATAAGAAATATTTGGCAAAACTCAGGTCTATTAATCCACCATGTGTGCCTTTCTTTGGTGAGCATTTCTTCTTGAATTTTTATTGCATTTCTGGATAAAACAAGACACTTATTTCATTAAATGACTGAGTTTACATGTGTAAATATATCAGCAGAAAATACTTATTTAACAAATACAGTGTGTCCCAAAAAAATATATACACACTTTAATAGCTGATAGCTCAATTTTGAAAATGAAATGTATTTTAATAAAAACTGCCTTTATAATTATTCAAAGTGTGTATATACATTTTTGGGGGATACCCTATATTTAGCACCTGAATCACCTTAGAATTGTTCTGTATTAGAACTTTTTAAGATCAAGCCTAATATATACATTCCCCTTTTTATTTCCTTCTTGGGCAGCCATTTGATATAGTGCTGTCTTTCACACGGATTTCTCTTCTCTGCCTGTATATGTGTTCTGATGATTCTCCCTCTGAATGCTTACAACAATTATGATCTCTATTATGTGTCTGGTGTTTAGTCTTTTTAGCATGTGGTATATTTTCTCCTAGCCATTTCCTCATCTATATCTATATATTTTATATATCTCCAAAAAGATAAAATCTTAAACTTCATTATTCTCTCTGACTTTTTTTATCATATATTGTTTTTTTATCATTAGTTATTTGTTTTCCTGAGGATTTTGCCCTCCTAAATTGTTGATAAAACTATTGAGTTCATTTATTTTCCCTTTCTGGTAAAACATTAAAATTTATACATGTGTGTTGACTATAGTGCCAGTTCATACAAGGGAATCTGAGGAAGGATCTGGGTAGGTCTGATGTTCATTTCATTCAATCTGTCAACAAATATTTTTTGATTACTTTCTAAGTGTCCGGAACTGTGTCCAGGTGTTTAGGAAAAGTGAAAAATGCATAGTACTTACTGGGCTCAGAGTCATGCTACTCATGATACCCTACAGCCTCTGGGACACAGAAGTGAAAAGAAACCTCAGGCCCTGTTCACTGGACTCATGATTTGGCCCCTGCTATCCCGGTACCTGATTGGTGGGCATTTATTCACACAAAACTGAACTCTCCAAAGTACTCTCTTTCAGATGAAATAACTATTCTTCATAACATGTCCTGTGTTACGAAGACATGACATTTCAGATGTGTATTTAGAGTATAACTCATTGTGTATGATTTAGTGAGTGAAGACAGACATGTGTAGGTAGTTGAGAGATACAGACAGCCTACCTGCCAACCTTTCTACCCATTTCTGCTTGTCTTCCTGATTGTTGAGCCTCTGCTTTTTTAAGGCAGTTTATCTGAACTATTTGTGTTCGATTCTGCTGCACTAGGAAGAGGTTTGCTATTCCAAACTGAATGTTATCATCCCTGAAGTTAGGCCACTTTTAATGGTCTGACCCACTAGGTAGAACCATATGTTATTGCTGCTTCTTCCTTCCATCTAGTTTTAATTCTGTCTCACTTATACTCCTTCCAGATTCTTATCCTTAATTCTGTATACTGTTTTTCTCCTGTATGGGAGGGTCAGGGGTAGTATCTAAGACTCTTACTTCCTCTTCCTCTTACCAGAATTTTTATTCAGGTCTTTTGCTGGCACTACACCATTTAAAGAATAAAAGTAAGTAAATAAATAAATAAATAAGAATAAAAGTCAGGCTATTTCTCCTTCCAAGGCTATGGCATACTATGGTCTATATCTAAATTTTTCTCCATACACTAAAATGTTTTACTCATAGGTAGAAAATATATATGCTAACATTTATTCTAAGGTAAAAGAATGTTGATTCCTCCCTCAACCAAATCTCACCTCTCTGCAACATCATTCAAGCCCGTAGCACTGGCTTTGCTCTTTCCTTTTCCACAGCTCTAATTCTGTGTCCTCTGTCTGTTTCTTGTCTGCTTGCGTCATCTCCACTCTTGCTTTCCTACCATTTTGGAATTGACTCAATGTCTCTTGCATCCTTTCATGCACTCAGAAACATTTGTTGGATGCTTCCATGTGATTTGTCAAGCCCTGGGCTGGGTGTTAGACTAGAGAGGCAAATAAAAATAGCCTTACTCTCGATAAGCCCCCTTGAAAGAGCAGAAAAATAAATTGCAGTACCATGTAGTAGGTATAATACTGTATTGTAGAGCTGTATAAATCAAAGTTTGAACAAAGTGTTATGGAAACCTAGAACTTTGAGCAACTATTCTTTCCTGCAAGGCTGGGAAAGTCATGAGCAAAAAGGTGAAACCTCACCCTTCTTCATTATTTATGTCATAATGCTCTGTTCTTCTCTCCCTAAAACAACTGTCTCCACAGGGTATATAAAATGTTCTATTGAAAAAATTAAGCTTTAACAGTATATTTGTTCTATATTTTTATTCAAAAATTATATTTATATATATATTGAGGATGCATGCTTAAACATTTTTTACTGATGTAGTAAACAATCAGCAAAGTTTGGACACCACCTCTTTTGTCATTTGTTCTCTTTTAACTGGCCATTAATTTGTTAGAAAATAATTTCCAAATTTCATCCTGAGCTATATCAAAATGCCACTTGTAAGCATTTTTGCAACTTCATTCAAATTTACTTTTGACACTTACAACATCTCATAACTTATTATCTCCCATGTTTCCAGTCAGTCATTACACCACCACCCATTCAGTCATTCAACCACATAACTGGATACTTTCTGAAATCAAACATGCATTGATGTCTATAATGTTTCATTATTGCTGACTATTTACTATTGATTTCAAGTCGTTTAAGCTTTTCAAGAATGTGGCCAAAAATTTCAGTATTGAAAAGTATGCTTGTACCACAAAAGCATTTAGAACTGCTAATATATGATTAGAACAGAAGTGCCTGTTATTTTGTTTGTTCTCCTCATCCAATGCAAAGCCTGAAGTGACAGAAGGAGTTAGAATTCCTAATCCCTTGCCTATGTCTGCTGTCATATAATGCCACTCTTTCTTCTCCCCACACATCAGATCCCTGTGGTCTAGCCATACAATAATATGCCATCTTTGAGTATACCTTCCAAGCTTCATCACAAACCAGTGCCATTGTACACATTGCTGCTTTGCTTAAAATGCCCTTACATCTTGTTCTACTTATTAAATGTCTATTCATGTTTTGAGATTTATTTTAAGCCTCACCTCATCTGTGATGCTTTTTCTACTTCTACTAGCTCAAGGCAGAGTTAGGTACACCTCCTTTCTGCTCTCATGGCATCTAATGCATTACTATTAATATAGCACTTCTCAGATTGTACTGTAGGAGCCCACATTCAAAACTCTGAATTCCTTGAGGTCATGGACTGTGTCTTGTTCATCTTTAGATCTGCAGTACCTAATGCAGTGCTTGGCATACAGCAGAGACTCAGTACATGTATACTGAGTGAATGAATTCAGATATTCACACTCTTTTTTCCCCGCAAAGCATCACAGTCAGTACTTTAGGGGAAAAGGCAGAAGCATAAGGGAATAGGTCAGTAGCATCAATAGCTTCAGCAATAACAACCATAGCTAATTAAGCATTTATTTTTGTTAGGCCCTATTCTAAGCCTTATATATGCATTTATATATATGCACAATAACCCTGTTATCCTCACTTTATAGATTTAAAAAAAAACCACAAGGCACAGAGAAGCTAATTAACTTGCACAGGATCACACAGTAGAAAGCAGCAGAGTTGGCTCCAGAACCTTTATGGTAGAGCCAGAGAGGAACTAAAGTGCTCCTGGCAACAGAGAGCTGTGTATAGAACTAAAGTGCCTGTTATTTTGTTCATTCTCCTTATCCAGTTCACAGCCTGCAGTGATGAGGAGAAGGAGCTCAACTATTAGCTTGTCACTAATTCTAGAAATACTGAAGACCAGAATGTACATAAATTATATGTGGGGCCTTGACTTACGAGTTTAATTCGTTCCGTGACGGAGCTCGTAACTCAAATTACTCGTATGTCAAATCTTAAAGTGAACGAGTAAGACACGTGATGCTGGGCTGATGTTGTGGCGTTCACTGTGACGTTCGCTGCGCCAACTAGTGGTGGGGTATCTGAAGCTGGCTCATAACCCGAATTTTAGCTCGCAACTCAAAGCAAAAAATCAGCTGAGAGACGGCTCATATCTCGAAAAACTTGTTAGTCTGGACACTCGTAAGTCAAGGCCCCACTGTACTCCTGTGCTTGATAGGCTTGCAGATCCTTCCACATGTCCATGAGTGAATCGATCCAAATACTAGTAATACTCCCTCTGAATTACAAATCCTAACAACCTCTGGTGAGGCCTCAAGAGCTGAGTAAGCAAAAAATACGATTCTCTGAACTTAACATTTTTCCCTTTTTGCGTGTTATTAGTGATGGTTATTCTTAAAGTTCCTTTTATAAAACCATGATATATCAAATAATATGTGGTTTGGCAGGTATGGAAAATTGGTTATTTCTACTGAAAAATGTATTGATTTTCTTAAATTTGGTCTCTTTTTTCCTTGGGTAGTTATAAAACTTCATTTTGTCACAGAAGAATTTGATACTCATAAAAATCTTCTCTTAATATTTACTTAGCTTGTTCTTCATAGAATGGAAATCTGTGCCTTGACTCATTGATTTTGGTGATTGAGGTGGTATAGTGTAAAATCACTACACTTACTAAGAAAGAAAGAAAACTAGTGTTCTCCTTCTTTATCCTTAATTTCATTATATCTTCTAGGAATTTATCTAACTAATATCTTGAAAACAGAAGAAGGCAACCCTGAGGTCCTAAAAAGGCATGGAAAAGAGCTTATAAACTTCAGCAAAAGGAGGAAAGTAGCAGAAATAACAGGAGAGATCCAGCAGTACCAAAATCAGCCTTATTGTTTACGAGTAGAATCAGATATCAAAGTAAGTTGAATTATTTGAGGATATATTTTTCTGATTAAGTTTATAAACTGCCTGATGAAAGGCAGGTTTATTTTATAGAGGCAAAAAAGTAATAAAACAAATAATTCAAATTTTCTTATGTTAAATGTTTTCTTAAATTATTTTCATGAATTTGAAACTCAATTTAAAATATTTAATGTTAATAATTGTTTCTTTGCATTTATTTTAGAGGTTCTTTGAAAACTTGAATCCAATGGGAAATAGTATGGAAAAAGAATTTACAGATTATCTTTTCAACAAATCCCTAGAAATAGAACCACGAAACCCTAAGCCTCTCCCAAGATTTGTAAGCATTCATGTATTTATATTTCTTTTACATTTATATATTTTTTCAGTTGTCATCTATATTTGGTGATGCCATCACTACCATGTATGTTATACAGATTAATTTTCTATAAAGGAGTTCGGGATGAGGTGCTTATGTGATGGATAAAAGTAATGAATAAGTGCCTAATAAATATGCTCAGGAATATCCCACTTGGTTCAAAATAAATGAGAATTAGTATTAATCTGAATAAATCCTGATAATGATAGATGAAGAAATTAGGCAGATATGAAAGTTTTTATTTTTTTAAATAAAAAAAATTATTCAAGATTTAAAAAAAATTTTTTTTTAAAGAATAGTTTATTGATTTCTAGAGAGAAAGGAAGGGAGAGGTAGAGAGAAACATGGATGTGAGAGTGAAACATAGTTAGGCACAATCCCTCAGTGCCCAACAAACTTAGCCACACTGGCTAGGGCTCAAGATTTTTTTTAAGAGCAGGAAAATTGATTAATTTATATTAATTCACTTACAATAAATAAATATACTTACGACTTTTAAAAGTAACTCATAAGGTGTGGCTAAAGATAATTTTGTGGTGAAAATAAAATTTCCATTGTTTTTAATTACTTATCTGTGCCTGGCCAAATTAATGTACAGTATCACCATCTCATTGATCTGAATGTAATTTCTCTCATATTCAGAAAGTCAAGAATCACAAAGTAAACGTAAATTGCTTCTAAGTAACCAAGATAAATCTCAAAATGTCTGTGAATTAAAATTTATGTAATTACCTCACATGAATATATCTCAAGGCCTAACACAGTATTTTTAAAAGGTGGATTAACCACAGCAAATGGGAAATAGTTAAATAGTCTGCTCCAATTAGGCACGCTGATATCACTGAGAAATGATCACTCTATGAAAGCTCCATAAAACTAACATAAATACAAATGAAAACTCAGGCAGTTTAATGCATTTGAAAATAGTTCAAGTGATCCTGATGGCATCACTGCATTACAGCATAGAAAGGTATCATCCTATATAATAAAGAGGTAATGTGCAAATTAACCCTCACACCCTCACAAGATGGCTGCCTACAACCAGTCCGGCAGGGGTGTTAGTGAGGGATGACCAGACAACTGAACAGCAGGCTGTGTGGGGTGACCAGGCCAGCAGGGGGGTTAGTGAGGGACGACCAAACGACTGAACTGCAGGCTGCGTGGGGCGACCAGGCCAGTGGGGGAGCTGTGAGGGGTGACCAGGTCAGCAGGGGGGGCAGTTGGTGGTGACCAGGCCAGAAGGGGAGGCAGTTGGGAGCAACCAGGCTGGCAGGGAGGGGGCAGTTGGAGGCGATCTGGCCAGCAGCGGGGGGCAGTTAGGGGTGATCAGGCCGGCAGGGGGGGCAGTTAGGGGTGACCAGGCAGGCAGGTAGGTGAGCAATTAAGAGCCAGTAGTCCAGGATTGTGAGAGGGATCGGGCCTAAACCGGCAGTCGGACACGCCCTGAGGGCTCCCGGATTGGAGAGGGTGCAGGCTGGGCTGAGGGGACCCCACCCCCATGCATAAATTTTGTGTACCGGACCTCTAGTAAGCTTATAAAATAAAGGGTGTCCCAAAATTCACGCAAGAAGTAATTTTGATAGAAAACACAGGTTTATAATTAAAAATTGTAAATTTTTTATTGATTCATAAAGTATATAGTATAAGGTTATGTATGGAAGAGCATATTGGGTAAATGGCCTCCATGGCTTTGCTGGCACATACGCACTCTTTTGTTGAAATTTTCCATGACCGTTTTGCATAAATGTGGCTGAATTTCAATGAGGCTCATTTTCATCTTGATGGCTTGGTTAATCAACACAATTGTCGCATTTGGGGTTCAGAAAATCCACGAGTGATTGTTGAGAAACAAATGTTCCATCTAAAAATATTAAAATGAAAAAAAATTAAAAAAAATAAAAATATTAAAATAACAAATACTCTGGTATTTATAGGACTAAGACTCAATTATTTAAAGAAATTAATTCCCTAATAATTTAAATAACCAAAGCTTTATGGAAATGGGATATTAAACAAATTCTAAACTCATTGTGTAAATTCTTTATTGATGGTATATGGTTTTCCTAGATATTAATTGAATTTTACCAGACATATAGAAAAAGCTTCCTTTCTATTATGGTGTTGTAAGTATTATGGGTTTTGTTTGTTTTTTATGTCTACAGCCAAAAAAATATAACTATCCCCTAAAATCTCCTGGTGTTCGTCCATCAAACCCAAGACCAGGTACCATGAGACATCCCACACCTCTGCAGCAGGAGCCAAGAAAAATTAGTTATAGTAGGATCCCTGAAAGTGAAACAGAAAGTACAGCATCTGCACCAAATTCTCCAAGAACACCGTTAACACCTCCTCCTGCTTCTGGTGCCTCTAGTACCACAGATGTTTGCAGCGTATTTGATTCTGATCATTCAAGCCCTTTTCACTCAAGTAGGTGCTAAAATTTTAAGTGCTTTAAAGTAATTGTTAGTATTATATGTGCTAGAGGTAAAAAAGGATCTGTATAATTTTTTTTATTTTTTGTAAATTTGTAGACAAATCGAATGCCATTTCAAAAGAGATTATAAAAATAGAAAACAAATTCTAAACTCCAGCAATCTATAATTGTTAAAAAATTGGTTGGAACAGTCCTCCTTAAATTTATTATATTTTACCAAAAGACCTGGTGGTGAAATTGCTAATTTCAACTTCATTTGAGCATTTGTTTTCTGTCGGTGAACTTAAAATGCGTATGTCCTATCCAGAGGAAACAAAGCTAATGCTTACAACCTGCAAGGAATGTTAGTCCCGGGCTTTAAAAGCTGTCTCCAAAATTATTATATTTGAATACTACTCATTCCCTTCCCACCAGACTCTGTAGTTTTTAATTTCACAGTGTATCAAATTCAAGCTCCTACTTAACCTTTCTCAGTCTATACCAGTGGTTCTCAACCTTGGCTGCACATTAGAATCACCTGGGAATCTTTTTAAAATCCTGATTTCTGGGCCTCATCCCCCCGGAAATTCTGTTTCTTTGTTTTGGGGTGGGGCCACAACATTAGTAACAAAGAAACAGAATTTCCGGAGGATGAGGCCCAGAAATCAGGATTTTAAAAAGATTCCCAGGTGATTCTAATGTGCAGCCAAGGTTGAGAACCACTGCTTTAGGGAGCTACCTTTTATATATAGATCCCCCTACTCCTATTAATTATTTAATAAGTTTCAGACTTTTAAAGCTCTAAAAACACACAACCTTTTTTCACTTGTTCATTATTAAATCAACACTTGAATCAAATCACCTTTAACCTCTACAACCACTTCCATATGTTCCTCCCATTGGCTGATTAGCTCATTGTGCAGTCCAGTTCTACTCTACTATTTGACGGAATAAAACCCAATACTCAGAGGCAGGGGGAGGAGGTTGAGAAGCACTGACCCAGCAGTTAGGAATCTGGTTTGTCATTCCAGTCTGCTAGTGTGCTTTCTGATTTTAGGTAAAATACTTTTACTGAGCCTTCTGGGAATCAAACTGGATTTAAGGTTTCTTCCAACTCAGAGGATCTAACTTTTTAACAAAAATTAACTTAAAATTATTCTTTGGAGGTATATATATTTTTATTTGACCCAGAATTCTATTTATTTATTCCTGTGTTATCCATCCATATATTTGTAGTTACCAGGCAGTTTGTCTTGTCTTTATACCACCTAAAGTGTATTTGTTTTGAGAAGTATTGCTTCTTGGCTTTATTTGGCTACTGAGGATTATGGAGTCATGTTATTCACATAGTAAGCTCTCAGATATTTTTGATGATATGTTCAAATAAACACCAGGTTAAGAAAATCCCATTAATTTTCCCCAACTCACCAACCACCTAAATTAAGTAATAAAATAAAACCAACTCTATTTGCAGTATACCTGACCTAAAATCATTATTTATTCTGACCCATTTTAACTGTTTGCAGGGCTTTTTCCCTAGGGCAGATGATTAAGGTCTATATATTATAAAGATTCCCACATAAATAAATTATTGAAATCATATGAAAGCCATTAATTGCAAATTTTACTTCTCTTAGTTTAAGAAGTAGCTAAAAATGGAAAAGATGGAAAAACAAGAGATAAGCACATTATGTTCCCTATTAGTACTAAATCTCTAAATCAAGGGTCCTCAAACTTTTTAAACAGGAGGCCAGTTCACTGTCCCTCAGACCGTTGGAGAGCCGGACTATAGTTTAAAAAAAAACTATGAACAAATTCCTATGCACACTGCACATATCTTATTTTGAAGTAAAAAAACAAAACGGGAACAAATACAATATTTGTATTTGCATGTGGCCCGCGGGCCGTAGTTTGAGGACCCCTGCTCTAAATGGTGAGTCAAACAGGGAAGAGGAATGGTTTGGAATGCAGTGCTCTGGATCAGTGTTTTTGTCATAGGTAACAGGAGAACCATATTAACTTAAATTGCCGGACAAGTGGAGAAACTGTTGTTTCAGGAGTTATGTTTTATAATCGTAGCCTGAGGGTTTTCTCAATTTTTTTCTTTGTGATAAAGATAACCCTATTACTATTCCCTTTGCTCTCAATAACATTTAAAATAACTGATTTTGAAATAAAATAAACCAGCATAATATAAAACCATCTGTATGCTCAGTTAGTCCCTTACTTAAGATTTATCAGTGGCATATGTGTATTAAAGGTCCTCATCTGCTCGAGGCCCCACTTCTGCTCAACAGATCTGC